TTATTACAGCAGTTGGAAGCTGCAATAGATTTAAAGAAACAAGTACTTACCACAAATTCTTCTAGAATACCTATAATACACAATAGCTTAAAATACGCTGTAATACTTCCACCTCGTTCTGAAGTTAATTAGAATATTAAATTATACCCGATTCTGTGATGGAGTGCGCATGCCTTCTGCATTGGTAAAATGTGAGAATGGCTATGGCACTACAATTATACAAAATACATAAATGAATTCCAAAATATGAACACACAAGTAAATTATTTAAGTAACTTAGCTGTAGAAAAGTTTAAACAACTCATACCTTCGAATACGTTTCAAGCGCGGTCTTATTAATCCATTAGGATTTTTTTTATAGGAGAGGGGGCAAACGAGCATGCGGCTTACCTGATGGTAAGTGACTACCGCCGCCCATGAACAACTGCAACATCAGGGGAATTGCAGATGTGTTGCCGGCCTTTTAAAAAGGAGTAGACTCTTTTCTTGAAGGTCTGTTATCAAAGCGCTTACAGGAAACTTAGACCACAATGATGCAGTAAAATACAATAATCTCATATCTCAATTAAAGACCCAGCAAACGCACACTAATAAGAAAACAACAATAATCTCGGAGATGCTTGACTCTCTTATAAATAGTACTGGATCTCTACAGGAAAATACGAAAATTGTAAATGAACGAATGAAATGTATAGAAAGAATTGTAAAATATATATAATTACTAAAGACGATAACAGCACATACTCCACATATGTTTTAAGTATGTTTAACATGTTTGTCAATAATTTTAGAACTATATACTTAATTTTAAGCGAAATAGAAACGGCATTAGCATTTAAACTTCACGTTCTGCATCAAGCCATTGTTAATTCTACTGAATTATTAGTAATATTAGAATCTATATCTCAAACAAATAGTTTATTGTATCCTATTACTGAAAACAATTTAGTTAATTTAGAAAGATCTATGTCTGTTAAGGCCTATGTAAAAGAAAACCAAATAACGTTCATTATGAAATCCCTCTGACTGATAATATTACATACACTTATTTTAAAATGTATGCCTTACCTATGTTTGATCCCACCTATAATAGAACAACTGTTATTTTTCCCAAATATCCTTACCTCATGGTGAAAGATCACACGTATTTACCCTTAAATGGCCCATGTCAGGAGATAGCAGCAAACCAGTTCCTGTGTGAGGAAATTGATATCGTGCAGTCCTGAAAACACATGCAATAGAACAACTTATGAACTTAAAATTAAATCTAAGCCTTTGTAAATTATAAATAGTAGAGCTAGAAAGTGTTAAGATACAGTCTATTCGTCCTATTAACTGGATCCTATTTACACAAAATGAAACAGTGCTTACAAAAACGTGTGGCGATGACACTCAAAGAAATGCTGTAAAGGGCACTTACCTCTTAGAAATCGATGAAAACTGTGAGATAAAATTAGGCAATATTAAATTACACCGGAAACGATACTATTCAGGAAAACTGCAATATAAGGTGACACCTATTTTAACTCTACCCAAATTGATAGAGCAGCCTACAAATGCGGAGAAAACAGTGAATTTAAATCGCGTTAATTTGGATGAACTAAAATATCTCTCGTACAAACTGAAAAGTGAAATAGTGGAAAGTGAAAGTGAATAAGAAAAGTGTTAGTTTAGCTACTGTACTACTCTATGTTATATTAGTTTTAATTAGTGTTATTGTTGTAATTTGGAAAAATAAGTCTAAGCTCTTACATTGTATGCAAAATCATCGGAATCGAAATTTTGTCAATAACTTTGCAGTTGAGGAGGGAGGAGTTATGGTTACACCAGCACCACCCATAATACAGATAAAGCGTCCATCAGCATAAATACATAAACGCTGAGTATGTAGTAATTTAAGTAGACTGTAAGCATAGGTTTAAGAATTGTAAAAGACAATGGACAGAATAAATTCACATCTCTCTCTGTGAACACGTAGTTTGTATAAAGCTTTCGGCAGCTCCCGCAACTTGACTAGGTGTTATCCTTTGTTTTTATTCATAGTTATGTGCTCTAAGTAGCATACGCTAGCAGTATTCGTGAGGTTTTTTGGCGGGAACTTGACCGCGGTTTGCTGCTCCTGTTTTATTGTTTAAATAATGGTTTGAAGTGGACTTTGATATGTAAAAGTGGTGCGATTTTGTGTATTAAGTGTCTGCGCATGTGAACTATTAGTGGAACTGTGAAACAAGTGCTCTGATGGTGATATGATTCTCAAAATAAGGTGTCTGTCTGCTTAGGCGCCTTGAGATACCATCGCCAACCGTCAGCTGTCTGCTGGCTCAAGTTGCCGTCAAAATCTCCCAAGGGCTGCACAATGTGATGCATCAACATATTGTGAAGCAGTATACTATGAAGGATAATTATTATAATATATTGTAACTTCAGGCTCAGAAGGGCTAGATCCCAGAGCCGTAAAGCCAGTTATTAAGAAGAAGACAGTATTTGTGAGTCAAAATGTGTGCGACAACGTTTTCTGTTTTGCTGTGTATTTAATATCGATTATTTTTGGAAATTATGGTAAGTTTGATTGTATTTTACTATTTTCTTTTAGATTACTGTGTTTTTTTACTGTGACAATAGTTTTTATTGTAAGCAAGATTATTTTCCCGCACTTTCGAAAGCAATTACTCAATGGTTAGAGTATTTACCACCGTGCAAGTAGTCTTCTCTCTTTTTTGTTTCTATTGCATTGTAACATAATTTAATAAAATAACATAATATTTTATGTTCGTTACAAAACTTAGAACGCGATGCGAATCTGATCATGTCAATTTCGATATACTTTCTGCAGGTTTCGATATCTCTGAAGATGAAGATGAGGAGCCTTCGATTCAGATTCCCATAGTAGACACTACAGAGATTGACGGTGACGACGATCCTCAATTTGGCATGCCTCTGTCAGATATCCAGAGGACAGCAAACCCATCAGTGTCTAGCGGAGTCTAGTCTCTATTGACGACAAACAGTATTCTTACTAGGATTTCATCCGCTAGAAGGACGAGGGATTTAGTAGCTGAGCCTGCTGATACTTCATCTATTCGAAATTTCGATAACATAGCTGAGCCAATGTGGAGACATATGTTGTGTGCAGCATCTGCTACAAAACAATTTAATATAGATACAAGCTTACATACTCACATAACTCAACTGCAATATCCAACACCTGCTACATGTAAATTGTTTTGGCCTGACAGTTTATTAGAACATTTAGTTTATCAAACAATACTGTATGCCCAACAGGAGGGAAAGACATTTATACCAGTAACTAAAGAAGAAATTAGTATTTTTTTGGGTATAAACCTACACATGGGTATAAAAAAGCTGCCCGCCTGAAGAGACTACTGGTCCCATGTCCTGATCTACATGATCCATTTATTCTAAAGTTTATGCCTGTAAACCGATTCGGATGGTTACTCTCAAATTTGCACGTAAATGACTCAGTTCAGTTTATTCCAGCAAGAAATAGCCCAAGCTATGACAAAATATATAGAGTTCAGCCTTTGCTAGATACCCTAAAAACACATTTGAAAAAAATTATCGTCCTACCGAAAAAATGGCTATAGATGAAAGCATGATAAAATTTAAAGGCAGAAGTCACCTCAAGCAGTACTTGCCAAAGAAATGTGTAAACCGGGGATATATGGTGTGGATGTTGTGTGCAAGTTCAGGATATTGTCTAACATTTTACGTTTATACAGGAAAGTTAGAAAAAGTTGAAAAGAATTTGGGCGCTAGAGTGGTGTTAGATTTCTCACAAGATTTACAAGGTAAAAACTACAAGTTTTACTTTGACAACTATTTTAATAGTTATGTGTTACAATATGAACTTAAGTTAAGAAAAATATTGGCCTGTGGCACAGTTAATAATACTAGAAAGTTTTTACCGGAATTGAAAGAAGATAACACAAGGAAAAGAGGTGATTTTGATTGGTGCATGAGTAATGACAATATATTATATTTGAAATGGAAGGATAATAGGACAGTGTATTTTATCAAATATGCATGATCTAAATGATGTTGATACAACCAAAATAAAAGAAAAGGACGGCTATTTCATAGACATACCTTGTCCTAAACTGCTGAAAGACTACAATGCCAATATGAATTTCGTGGACAAGTTCAACAAACTGAAAAGAAATTACGGTTTAGATAGGAGGTCTACTAAACAGTTGCACAGAATTTTCTTTTCATTTATGGACTATTGCACCGTCAATGCTTAAATTGTGCATAAAGATCTGGTTGAATATAAAAAATTTAACAGAAAATACAACATCAAAAATTATGTCCCACAAAGACTTTAGGAGAGAAATATACCACCCCTGGTTCGCCTAGAAGGTAAAATACACCAAGCAAAGTCCACTACTTCTCGTCAATGCAATTTGTGCAACACAAAAGCAAAACCTGTAAAAACAGCTTGGGTATCTGACACTTGTATGGTTCCTTTATGCATAAAATCAACCAAAAATTGTTTTGCTGATTTTCATAAGAATAAAATTAGATTAAATAAAATTGGCGTCTTAATAACCACAGATTTCCTCAAAAGCCTTCGTAGCTAAATTTTTAATTTTATTTTTCTAATGATTTTTATTCATTATTTAAAAAAGTTGAACCTGTGCATCTAAGAGTTAAAAAGTTATTACACATTTTTTATTTCAGCTGATAAGAGATGCTGAAAGTCGATGAATACCAGTATCCCAGGACTGAACTTTTTAGCCTCATTTTAGGGAAGCCTATGTTCAGCAGAGACTTGAAGAGCTGTAATGTTGTTGATGATAATACATATTTTGTCTGAGGATTGAAAAACTGGCTACTAAATACATTATATAAACACCAACTCCAAAATACATCACATTAGATTGGCTGTTGCAATGGCATTATGGTAAAAGCTTAATATTTAATGACTGCACAGAATTTTAAATTGTTCAATGTCTTTATGACATTTTAACTCTCATTATAGTCTATACTAATCGTACAAGTTTTTCATAAATAACAAACATCAATGCTGCTGTCATCACAGTCTGTAACAATTTTGCTTCTAAACCACGAAACATAGTGGTTGGTTTAGATTTCATATCTCTAAACAAAGGTTTTACACTAGTGCCAGCATGGAGTCTAGATTGAATCAACTGTAGTGGATAAGTTAAGATTGTTGCAGTAGCTTTTGCTATAGCACCAACCAAAAATGCTGCATAGTTGTCAAAATAACCAGCAGACATTAATTTTCTTTTCAATGCTTCATAAACCATGAATTGAATGGCTGGATTAGAAACTAAAAGCAACGATGGTACTGTACCAGACCAAAGCCCCTGTAAACCTTCTTTTTTAAAAACATCACCCAGACCTTCAACAAGACTGGTGTAATTATTTTTTTCTAACTTCATTCTTGTGTTAACAACCCAAAGAGGAGATGTCACAAGAACATTAATACTTCCAGCTAACATACCAAACATTAAGTCTTGCATTGCAGAGTTACCTTTTAGTGTAAAGCTACGTAATGTATGAAAAGAATAAAAATAAACAAAATTTGATACTGAAAGGGATTGCAGAACAGGTGCCAAACCGCGGTACAATGACATAATTCCTTCATTATTTGCTAGTTGCACTAATAAATCCAATGATGATCCCCTTAATTTATCAGCTTCATCAACTGAAAGTAAAAACTTTCATTTATGTTTAATTGTATTAAAGTACCTAAAAACACTACACAAAAAGATAAGAAATTTTCTGACAACTAATATGTAATGCCCTCTGCAGTGTTAAAGATACATATTATAAATAAAAAAATATATAATTACCTTGAAGTCTTGATCGTAGTATATCCAATGGATAAAATACTGCCATTCCTACTACACTTCCCTAAAATGGTACATTGTGTTATTTAAATTTAATAAATTAAGTTACAAATTCAAATCATGTTAATCATAAAAACAAACCGTAGCTCCTGCCATAGCATGAACAAGGGTTTCATAGCTTAGAACAGAATGAGTCATTATTCTTAAGATAAAATTATATTCTTTAAAATCATTAATTAAATTAGCGACTGTTAATTTGTTATTTACATGTGTACATTCCGCGTCGCTCTAACACAAATAACAAAGAACATATGATAATTAATGAGTAACTATCTATGTATAATAATCTAGGCTATATAGTATATACTCCTAAATAGGCTTGTGCAAAAAATATCGATATATCGATATTTATTTTAGAGAATCGAATTCGTATCAATTTCCATATATTTTAAATTGTTGTACAAAATATGTAACCAAAAGGAGCTACACAAGCATGCATTTGTGTGGTTGTCGTTTTTTTTCTTCCAATCGTCAATAATATTAAATTTTGGGCCTTATCCTTACATCATGCAGATGATGACAATATATCGATATTTTTCCTTGCCTATCCCTACTACTAAAGCCTGTTTTTATCTCTGAGATAGGCTTGGGCAAGAAATATCGAAATATCAATTTTTCGATATTGACATACATACATACGTACTGTCGATATTTATGTAAATATTAACAAAAAACGCAGTAGTCGTTTCAGGGACGTATAGGTGTACACATACTAGGCTGCACTAAAAGTATCGGGAATGGAATATTTCCACTGTTCTTGTCATATCAAAATCTTTTTAATTGAAAACTCCTTGGTTTTAAAAATCGAATACTATTTATTTATTTAAAAAAAGATTCTCGGTCTTGTCACAAGGTTTTGTCAAACTTGTTTAGTCGTTGAGAAAATGGAATTGACTCGAGAAAATTCAAGAGCGATGATTTATTATGACTTTCGAAGTGGTTCAACACAAAAACAGTGTGTTGACCGGATGATTTCTGCATTTGGTGATGAAGCCCCATCCAAAACCACAATTTATCGCTGGTTTGCTGAATTTCAACGTGGACGTGTCAAGGTCAGTGATGATCCCGTCAAGGTCGTCCAAAAACTGCAGTCACCCAAGAAAACGTTGATGTTGTGCGTAAGCTGATTGAGGAAGATCGACATGTGACATACCGCGAAATTCAGACAACTTTAGACATTGGCATGAGTCAAATACAAATAATCTTGCATGAACAATTAGGTGTAAAAAAGTTGTTTTCCCGATGGATACCGCATTCGCTCTGTGAAGAGCAAAAAGCGGCTCGCGTTACTTGGTGCGTCAGAACTCTCGAAAGATTCCATGCAGGATCCTCAAATGCTGTATACAACATCGTATCAGGTGACGAATCCTGGATATACGTGTACGAACCCGAAACAAAAAACCAGTCACGAGTTTAGGTGTTCGAAAATGAGTTAAAGCCAACAAAATTGTTCGTTCACGGAGTGTTGCAAAAAAAATGATAGCCACGTTTGTCTCCAACACCGACCATGTTACGACTATTCCTCTTGAGGGATAAAGAACGGTTAATGCAGAATGGTATGCTAGCATTTGTTTGCCACAGGTCGTTTCTGAACTCCGTAAAGAAAACTACAACCGCCGCATCATCCTCCATCACGACAAAGCGAGTTCTCACACCGCACACAGAACAAAAGAGTTTTTAGAGCAAGAAAACATAGAATTATTAGAACATCCGCCGTACAGCCCCGACCTAAGCCCTAATAATTTCTATACTTTCCCTAAAATAAAGAATAAATTGCGTGGCCAGAGATTTTCATCACCTGAAGAAGCTGTGGACGCCTACAAAACGGCCATTTTGGAGACCCCAACTTCCGAATGGAATGGTTGCTTCAATGATTGGTTCCATCGTATGGAAAATGTGTCAAATTTCGCGGAGAATACTTCGAAAAGCAATAAATACATTTTTAAATAGTAATGTTGTGTCGCTTCCTTGATTCCCGAAATTTTCAGTGCCGCCCGCCGTCGTAGGCATGGCAATTATGATAATGAATTTTTTTTGGTTGCTTTAAATGGGGTTATAGAGTTTCTAATCAGATAGCTTACAAAATTTAATATTTCTAAAAATGTTATTTGCTTCTGAACTTACCGACACGTGCCGGCATATTACCTACGGCCACTGTGAGGTCACTGAACCGGTCGCCACAATGCAAGCCACTGTACGGCGCGAGCTTCCCCAAGGTTTTTGTGTAATTCGTTATACTTACCTAGACACAGTTATTATCTGAAAATTTAAATTAAAAATAATAGAAATTATAATGGAATATTTTTTTTTAATAGTGTGCTGGCAGTTTATCAATATTCCATTTCCAAAGTGAACTACTAAACCTCACTGAACATAATGGCTTTCCCACACATAATCTCATAATGTCTTTTGGCAGGCGGGTTGGCAACCGCAGTTTCTTTACTTTCTAGTTGTTGTTAAGAAGATTCTGAGAAGATTCTTTTAATCCCAATACACATTTATAAATTTTCTCTTTATTACTAAATAGATCTGGGGAAAAATATTTATGCCATCAAAAAAAGAACCAAGTCTCGCAACTCAGTTTTTCTACCGTAAAAAGTTGTGAGATCTATGTAATACCAAGTCGGTTAATTTATTCAGTCTCTACTTAGGGGTCCTTCTGTCTCAAGTTATTACGTAATTAGCTAACCTAACAACATCTTATAGTGACCATATCAATATTAAAAATCTTTTATGTTTTAAATACATAGGTAGACTTGGCCATCGCATGAAAACACAATGTATCTCACAAGTAATACATATTATATTAGATTGTTTAGTGCGATTGCCAAGTCAATCTAAAATTCAAGCTTCTAGTTTTATCCACAACGAAGTTATAGGGGGTCTAAAATGGCCTGAATTGCTTCGAGAAAAGGATGGTACGGCCGTGCCGCTTTTTTGCTCGACTTAAAGGTTATTTTACAAGCATAAAATATCATGATTAATTTCAAATCGGCTATTGGTAGAAGAAATTTGGTATGTATTTTTCATATGACATTTTATTCGATGAAGAATATGTAACAGGCATAATTTTTTAAACTTGGCACCGCTGAAGGGACTGCAGCACCGCCCAAATTTCGACGGAATCACAGGCTTTCTCATAGTCCACATATGCAAGGCAAAGTGGCAGATTATACTCCTCTGTCTTCTGTATAATTTGCCAAAGGGTGTGTATGTGGTCTATGGTACTAAAGCCTTTTCGGACACCGGCTTGTTCAGGAGACGGGAAGTCGTCAAGTCTGCGTGCGAGACGATTCGTAATGACTCTCAAAAACAGCACGTAGACGCGACTCAGAAGGGAAATCGGTCTGTAGTTCTTCAAGAGAGCGTTGTCGCCTTTCTTTAAGAACAAGACCACCGCACTTCTGCTCCACGCCTCCGGAGTAGTGCCACCATGGAGGACGGAATTAAAGAGCTTCTGAAGGACTTCAAGTACCGGTTTTCCACCCGCTTTCAAAAGCTCCGCTGTAATTCCATCCTCGCCCGGGGACTTTCCGTTTTTAAGGTGCTAGACAGCCATTCTAATCTCGCTTAGACTGACGTCCGGGATATCTTCGGAATAGTGTCGGATAAGACTCGCTCTTGGATCGTTACTCACACTTGCGTGTGGCTCCAAGGATGACGTGTACAGCTGCCCATAGAACCTCTCAATCTCACTCAAAATCTCAGGTGTCTATCTATATACTATATATTTTATATAATATTAATATTTAAAAACATGGGAAGTTTTATAAACATAAAATTTTGTCACAATTCAGTAGTCAAGAAAAGAAATGAATAAATAAGTATTGTTTATCGACGGTCGATAGAAAAATGCTAATTATTAGATTTTGAAAAATACAGCAGCATATGTAACAGTTTAAGTATATGTTATTGTGTGGATTTATTCCACAGTTATTAAAATTTTTCTTGTTATTCTAGTCTTTTAATGTATTTTTACTAATCCTAGCTATAACTTAGTTTGTTAATAACACTTACGAGCTCTGCCTGAAGTAAATAAATAATAACTATTATTAAAAAATTACATAAAAAATCACAACAAATTTCCTCGATTCAGAAAATATCAAAATTATAGAGACTGTATAAGCAACTATAGACCAATATCTATATTACCGTCATTATCTAAACTACTAGAACGCGTGATGAATAATAGGTTCAAAAATTTTCTTGAAATGAATTCCATACTTTCTCCAAATCAATTTGGTTTTCGTTCTGGTAAATCAACAGCTGGGATGACTGTGTCGGTGTGAGTTCGCTTTCAATAAATTTGGAAAACATGTGACGATTCTTTTCTTGTTATTGTTAAGTCGAGAAAATTAAGGGAACAATCTTGTTTCAATTCAAGTTTAAATTTGTGTTGCATTGCTGAATGAACAAACAAATGTTACTAACTCACCTCTCTTAAATATCTTTAAGTCTGCTCTCTAATAATAGAGAGCCTCGCAATATGGTCGTTTGTCACCCTCACGAAGATCGGCGATTGGTTGCGTGGTTGGAGGGTGGGCGTTGCGCGGCGGTTTGTTTTTAATTTTACAAACGGCTGCGTAAGTCCGGCGGTGATTGGTCGCATGTTTTATCGCATGACGCAGTCGCTCACTCCTTAAGTAGAAAGCGGTTGCGTCATCGGTCTGTATAAAAGGCACTTGTTTTGGCTCGCCGCTCACTTAGCGGTTAGCCACCGTAGAGTCTATATCACCTGAGGATGCCTTGTGTAGAGGCAAAACACGTGTCGTATTATCGTCAGTGGTGTGTCTTGCCTAGTGTAGTGGTGTTGGGAGTAGCGGTGCTGGGATTAGTGGTGACTGGGATAGTGCACGCAATTGAGGGAGGGCGGGAGGTGAGTATGAAGATAATAGGTAAGACACATCATTTTATTTTATAACGCGGATATTTGCGAAGTAAATTTTTCTAAAAGCTTTTATATAATGGATTTCCGCAAAGTAACGCCTGATTCTAATAATTATAAAGATGACACGTCATTAACAGAAATGGAGTTCACGCGTGAACATTTGCGTGCCATAATTTATCACAATTTTCGTCGCGGCTTATCTCAAGATAAATATCTCAGCAAACTTGTTTCGATTAATGATGTTGAAGCA